CGGGCGCGAGCGCCACCGCCGCCGCGCGCTGTGCGGGGCGGAGCCGCGCAAGTAGAAGCCGGGCCCGGACCGAAGGGCCCGGGCGCAGGTGTGGTCCCGGGCGGTGGCCTGTCCTCGCCACTCGTGTTGTCCGCCTGAACAGCGGTGACGGAGCAGGTCCCAGGAGGGTAGCAGGGACAGCAGCCGCCTGAAGGGCGAGGGGCAGCAGTCCCTGCTGTGGAGTCCTGCCCCGCGGAGCGCAAGGGGCTTGGGAGGCGGGCCGGAGCCGGCCGAACCGCGCGGACCAATCTTAGGGCAGACGCTGGGGCCCGCCGGGAGGGCGCGCGGAGTGAGGAACGGAGCACCGGCCTCAGAGCCGCAATGGAGAGGAAGGGAGTTTTCGAGCGCGATGCCCTAGGTGTGGCGGCCTGGAGCCCCTCTTGAATGCAGAATTCGAGATCCAAGATGCTGCTTTTCTGCAGTTCCCAAATTTCCCAAGCCATCCACTGAGGACTCGGCCCTGGAGGATTCAGTAGCATTGACAGTCCCAAAACACCATCTATTTACAAGGCTTTTAATAAAAGTCAAAAGTTTGGCTTAAAACAAATTGTATAAAACGAATTTAAATGAACAAACTCATTAAAAGCCTACTAAAGGATCTGTATTCCCTCCTACCAATTTAGGACTTTAAATAACATTATGTTGCTTCCTTAGGATGCCAAAATCTCCGAAGTTTTAATTGTCATAATTCCCTTTGAGGCCCTGTTGATGTAACAATTTTGAAACTGTCCGTGTTGAAAGGATTGTTTTGGCATATTAAGGACTCCACTTGTGTTAGGAAGGCTGAAGGGATCAGCTATAAAAAGGCAAAGTTCCAAGTAACAAAGGGGAATGACCGTCATTTCCTTTGACCATCTTCTGCGGCCTTGCAACAGAATTTAGGAGAGCCAATGGTTGATTAGAAACACTGGAGAGTCTGGTCCCAAAATATCTCAGTTGCTGGTGCTTGAAATTTCACCCACAGAGATATTGATTCCTTTGGGGCTTGACGAGCCTCTATTAAAATGCAAATTATCCTTGAAGGGGCAATAGCTCAAGCCTTTATCAGCCACCACCTTAGCAAGGATGGGATTTATTTTCCAATTTAATGGGATAGCCAAAGGATGAAGCAGGGGGTGGAGAATTCCACAGATAAAGTAGCTGACCTCAAAATGCTGGCCTCTGGCCAAGGCTGCCTTCCCTCTGCTCTTATCTATAACAGACTAAGCTTCAGCTAGGCATTGTTTAGAGCACACAAGTACAAATTCAAATTTCCCAGAGACATTTTCTACCTAGGAATTCGCAGGGCAGCACTTTTTAAGGACTTGGAAAAATACCAAAGCATGATCCTGGGCTGCCAGCAAGTTATTTTCTCATTGTAGTAGTCATCTTATGCATTCATTTATTCATTCCTCTAACAAAAGTTCATTGAGGGCTGTCTGTGCACCAGGCACTGTTTAAGGCTCTGTTCAGTGAAGAGCAGACAAAATCTCTGTCTTCACAGGTACAAGGAAAGAAATAGATAATAAACATAACAAATATGTAAACTACATAGTGTTTGTTTACATTGTATAATATACATTGTATAATATAATCATTCAAGAAAGTAATTTAAGCCTGGAGCAATATAAGAAGGAGCTCTGGTGGTGTAGTGCCTAAGACATTTGACTGCTGACCAGAAGCCTGGCAGTTCAAACCTACCAGCCACTCCTCAAAAGGAAAGTTGGACAATCTACTTCCATAGTGATACCGCCTCAGAAACCCACCGGGGGTGACTATGAGTCAGATCCTACTCCAAGGCAGTGAGTTTGTTTTTTGTTTTGTTTTGTTTTGTTTTGTTTTGTTTTTTTGCTTTAACAGAGGAAGAAGGAGAGTAAGGAATAACAGGGAAAAATAGAATGTCTGGTCAATTGCCTCCATGAACAGCTGACTCCTTTGCAATAAGACTAGAAGAACTGGCTGGTGCCTGGCTACTACTACTGAATTTTTTGATCAAGGATTCTATAGAAGAATCCTGATCAAAAAGAAGAAAATGTAGAACAGAATTTCAAAATCTCATAAAATCCAGACTTTCTGAAGCCATGGAAACTATATGAACACCTGAAACTATTGCCCTGACATAATCTTTAAACTTTAAACAAAAAATGTCCCCTAAAATCTTCTTAAACCAAACAGTTGTTTAGCTTAACTAGTAAAGAGTATCTTCCTAGAGCATCATGCTCTTTTAAGAACTATCAATATGGGTTCAAACCCACCAGCCACTCCTCGGAAGGAAGGTTGGGCAATCTACTTCCGTTGTGATACCACCTCAGAAACCCAAGGAGGGGTCACTATGAGTCAGGGCCGACTCAACGGCACATAACAACACAACAACATATGGGATCAAATTGACAACAGCAAATCGAGAGATTAGATGGGAAATTTAGAGGACAGTGAGTTTATGTTAATGGGGGAGAAACAATTCAAGTAAAGAGGGTGAAAATGGTTGTACAACTTGAAGAGTATAATCAATGTCACTGAATTGTACATGTAGAAATTGTTGAATTGTTTTATGTTCAGCTGTGTATATCCTTAATAACAAAAAAAGTAATAATCAGAATTTATTTCAAAAAAAAAAAAAAGTAATTTAAGCACCTGCTATACGCCAAAAAAAAAACAAACAACAGTTGCCATCAAGTAGAGTTCAACTTATGACAACTGCACCCCATAGGGTTTTCACAGGTATAACATTTTGGAAGCAAATTACCAGCCCTTTCTTCAGAGGTGGGTTGCAACCTACAACTTTTTGGTTAGTAGCCAAGCACTTAGCCATTTGCACAAACCAGGGGCTCCTAAGAATATGAGGATGAGCAAAAACCAACAAGTCTGCTACACCCAGGGAGCTCTCTGTCTGATGGGAAAGATGATCGCACACAGATCATTGTTCCAAAGCCAATTGTAACTGGGACAAATGGTGTGGAGAAGATGCATACAGTACCAAAAGACATAATGAGGAGAATTGCAAACCGCTTTCTGACCACAATGTAGACGATGGATTTAAAAGACTTGAGTGAATGTAAGGAGAGCAAATGTTGTTAGTTTAATTTAGGTAGGAGTGTTTTGGTGAATGTTGTTGTTGTTGTTGTTGGGTACCATCGAGTCTGACTCATAGTGACTCTATGTACAATAGAACAAAACACTGCCCAGTGCTGCACCAGCCACACAATCCTTGCTTTATCTGAGCCCATTGTTGCAGCCACTGTGTCAGTCCATTTTGTTGAGGGCTTTCCTTTTTTTTGCTGACCCTTCCCTTTACTATATAGCATAGTGCCTAAGGCACTTGACTGCTAACCAGAAGGCTGGTGGTTCAAACCTACCAGCCACTCCTCAGAAGGAAGGTTGGGCAATCTACTTCCATAGTGATACCACCTCGGAAACCCAAGGAGGGGTCGCTATGAGTCGAGTCCAACTCGACGGCACATATGACAACAACCATCACTTTATCAAGCATGATATCCTTCTCCGGGGAATGGTCCCTTCTTACATATAGTGAATAAGGATGGTGGAAATATTGAAAATCAGATCATTTGGTAGATGTTTAGAAAGAGTCAGTGATGAATTAAATATGGGGAGGTGCCAGCTGGAGCACCATGGGAAGAGTCACAGAATGTTGGAAACCTCCAATGAACTCCCTTTTATGAGTTAGATTAACTGTCAAAATATATGTAAATCAATTTCTTTTATGTTTCAATGACATGGAAAAAGAGCTACACTTAGCACAGTGGGGATGTTGGTATAGGCGGGTTAGAAGAAGGATCTGCCTTTTCAGCAGAATTTCATTTGGAAGCAGAAGGAGAGACTGATCCAGAAATTAACTTACTTTGCTGTTTTTAAATTCTGTATATTAGAGAATTTAAAAATTGTGTTGTTTTTAATACAGTAGCCAAAATTACTTTGCTAAACAGAATTTGGAAACGTAAATAATTAAAATGAATCGATTTCATGGAAGTCTGTCAAAGAGAGAGGGTAAGGAAAAAAAGAAGGAAGGAATGCTGGCCTGCCACTGGCCTAAGCTTAGTCCTGCCTCTGATCCAGACAACTCACTGACCTTCTTTGATCCTTAGTGTTTTTTTCTTAAAAAGGGGTTGTAATAATACATGGAGGGCAGTGGTGGTTCAATGATAGAATTCTCCCCTCCCATGTGGGATACGCAGGTTCAAATCCCAGCCAGTGCACTTCATGTGCAGCCCCCACTGATGGCCAGATCCAGGTAAGAAGAGGGAGAGCCCGCACCCAAGGCAGGAAGCAGAAAGAAGCCAGGGCCAAGAGCCAGAACAAGTAGGGGGAGGGCCAGGAAGTGGGTGGAGAGGTGAGGAACAGGTAAAGGAAATGAACTTGTCTGTCAGTTTGTCATACTGTGGTGGCTTGTGTGTAGCTAGAAGGCTGGAGGCTATACAACTAGTGTTTCAAATGCCAGCAGGGTTGCCCACAGTGGACAGGTTTCAGTGGAGCTTCCAGACTGAGACATACTTGAAAGAAAGAAGAGACCATCCACTTCTCAAATAACTGGCCAGGGAAAACCTTATTATTAGTAGAGAAACACTGTCTGATACATTACTGGGAACTTTATGAATAACCCTGAAACACTGCCTCATAGTGAAACACTGTCTGATACAGTGCCAGAAGATGAGCCCCTCAGATCACAAAGCACTCAAAATATCCAAAGAGCTGCTTCATCAGAGTAGAACCAACCTTAATGATATGGATAAAGTAAAGCTTTTAGGACCTCATTTGCTGATATGGCACAACTGAAACTGAGGAGAAACAGATGCAAATATTCATTAATAATCGGAACATGGAATGTATGAAGTATGAATCTAGGAAAATTAGAAGTTGTCAAAAATGAAATGGAACACATAAAAATTGGTATCCTAGGCATTAGTGAGCTGAAATGGATCAGTTTGGGCCATTTTCAATCAGACAACCATATGATCTACTATGCCAGGAATGACAAATTAAAGAAGAATGGAGTATCACTCATCATCACAAAGAACGTTTCAAGATCTATCCTGAAGTACAATACTGTCAATGATAGGATAATATCCATATACCTACACGGAAGGCCAGTTAATACTACTATTATTCAAATTTATGCAGCAACCAGCAAAGCCAAAGATGAGGAAATTGAAGATTTTTACCAACTCCTGCAGTCTGATATTGACCGAGCACGCAAACAAGATGCACGGAATATCACTGGTGATTGGAATGCAAAAGTTGGAAACAAAGAAAAATCACCAATATTTGGAAAATTTGCCCTTGGTGATAGAAATAATGCTGGAGATTGCATGATAGAATTTTACAAGACCAACAACTTATTCATTGCAAATACCTTTTTTGACCAACACAAACAGTGGCTATACACGTGGACTTCACCAGATGGAGTGTACAGGAATCAGATTGACTGCATCTGTGGCAAGAGGTGATG